GCACAATTTAGTATTGATAGGTTTATAAAAATCAATCTCAAATACTGTAACACTTGCAGCTCCTTGGAATTTCTCCCTGAATATGAGGAGAATCAGATAGTTGCAGATTCTATCACTTAGAATATTTCCTTCTGATTATAATGCTGATTTGTGTCTTCCCAATTTCAGAAGTTATGTCCAATAATCATATTTAAGAGCAGGCTGATTGTAAGACAAGCCCATAGCTTATCCCATCAACAATTCATCGAGATAATTTGCTTCTATTTCAATGTCCCCTGCTGCTACTAAAGAGGTATCCTAAAAAGGTCTGTACCTGCACATAAATTTCTTGAATTTCTCCCATTTTTACTGAATTAGGTCTTATGCATATATTAGTGAGCCTTTCCTCTAATTGACTTACTATTCTATTCCCACAGTAGCTAACCTTATACTTTTTATTCTTCTATTTCTCAAACTGAGTATCTGCATTCTCTTCAGATGGTTTTTCCTCATGCTCAATGACTAAGGTCATCTATGTGACTTCGATCAAATCCTTGCGTCTCTGAAGCCACCTTTCTAACTTTATCTACAGCCTCCTGCTTCCCTTAGAGACTAACTCCTTCCTTTATTCCATTGCCACGCTTTCTGAGCTCTTCCTCTAGAGATTTGTCCAGTTTTATGTTGGCTCTATAATCTCTCACCTTCTGAATGAGATAGCCCTCGCCTATAAATCACAAACGAATCTTTCTTTGATTCCACTTATATCTTGATTCCTTTTTTATTAAAACAAACTATTTGAAAACATTTCTCTCTTCCTTGTCCTAATTTTATCTCCCAACCATTTAGTTTTTACCCTTACCAATCAGTTAGAACTAAACTCTTCCAAGTGACTGGTATCTAATCTGTTGCCAACTAAATTTACTGTTCTTTTCTCAAGCACTACTTAGAGCACTTGACAGAGAGGATAGTGCTGTTCTTTCTGGAAATGAGAATACATTGATTTCCAGAATTCTGAGTGAAATCTTTATTCTGTGGTTCAATTACAAACTTCGCCTGATTTCTATGTTTTCTGCCTGTAAATTTCCTTGCCTTCTATATCCTTAATAGACACTCTACAAAAAATATTTCTCTGTAGTCCTTCTGGATATACCTTTTGGACTTTTCTGTTACAAACATTTTCTGTGTTATCTAGCTCAAATATATATATATATATATATATATATATATATATATATATATATATATATATATATATACACCTTGGAAGCTTTTATTCGGGGGAGGAGGGAGGATTACTTGGGCTTGAGCTCAGGTCCTGGACTCTGTCACTTAGCTTTGTCACTCAAGGCTAATGCTCTGTCATTTGAACCACACTTAAATTTCCAGCGTTTTGATGATTAATTGGAGATAAAAGTCTCTTGAACTTTCATGCCTGGGCTGGCTTTGAACTGTGATCCTCCAAAGCTCAGCCTTCTAAGTGGCTGGACTCACAGACATGAGCCATCAGTGTCCCACTGAAGTTTTAATTCTATTAAAACCATCTAATTCCATTAAAGGCAGTGGTGATGCCTCTATTAAGTTCTTTTTTTCTTCTTCCTACTTTTTTTTGGGGGGGTTGGTTAATTCATCATATTTTTTAAAATACTTTATTGCCTTGCTTAATTTTCCATTATACCTCTCTGCACATGTTTTGCACTAGTAGTTATAAATTTTGCACTAGTGATTATAAGTTAACTATAGGCATTAAATAAGTATCTTTTATTAATATTCAAAAACTATTTAAAAGGAAGTGCAAAAATGTCTCTATCTCTAATCTTTGAACTCTTGTTTGTCAAGCATTACACATGTATACTATAAGCTCTGTCTTTTGTTATGTTTCTTTTAAAAGTCCATATTCTGAAAAGATTTAGTCACATGTACAAAAACTAGGAATATCTTGAAACTTTTTAATAACTTATTGACTTGTTTGAATTTTATACTGTTCTCATTCTTTCTTATGGAACCATCTCTCCATTGTTGTTTGTCTCTTTTCTTCAGTCTTTTCCTTTTTGGCTCCAAATATATATTTATATATTTACCACTTGGTATTTTCTGTATTTTCTTACTGTTTATTTTTTTTCCCTCTTTGGAATAGTTAAAATTTTTTTTTTACTAAGTCTCCATGTTTGTTGTTCGTCTGTAGTGTGGGCTTATCCTAAAAAGCCTATCAAATTGACATTTCATCTGTGATGTGTTTTTAGTTTTTTTGGGGGGGGGTCCAGTCGTGGGGCCTGAACTCTGGGCCTGGGCGCTGTCCCTCAGCTCTTCAGCTCAAGGCTAGGGCTCTACCACTTGAGCCACAGCACCACTTCCGGCTTTTTTTTCTTTTTGCTTATGTGGTGCTGGAGAATCGAACCCAGGGCCTCATGCACGCAAGGCAAGCGCTCTACCACTGAGCCACCTTCCCAGCCCCTTTTTATTTTATTTTTACTCTACTGGAGTTTCCTATATTTTCATGCAGACTTTCTGTCTTTCCATCTGTATCCTTTAACATTCAATAGAATTATTTTTATGTTTTAAAATAAAATACCTACTTTAAAACATATTGTAAAGCCCTGATAAATGCCAATGCCAATATCTAAGCCATCTCTTGGTCTGGTAATTTTTTTTGGTGGGGGGCTTGGGCCTGGGCACTATCCCTGACTTTGTCATTCAAGGCTAGATCTCTGCCACTTTGAGGCACAATCCCCTTGGAGATGAGTCTCACAAAATTTCCCAGACTGGCTTCAAACAGCGATCCTCAGCTCTCAGCTTCCTGAGTAGCTAAGATTACAGGCATGAGCCATTGGCGCCTGGCTTGTTCTGGAAATGTTCTGTATTGTACCTGTTGATGGTAGGTATGTATGTGTTTACTTTGTAATTGTGTGTGTGGTGGGGGAAACTTGAACTCAAGATTTAGATGCTGTCCCTGAGCTGCTTTTTCTGCAAGGCTAGTGCTCTACCACTTGAGCCACAGCTCCTCTTCTGGCTTTTTTTTTTTGTGGTTTATTGGAGATAAGAGTCTGATGGTCTTTCCTGCCCAGGCTGACTTTGACTCCTGATCTTCACATCTCAGCCTTCAGAGCAGCTGGGATTACAAGCAGGAGCCACTGGTGCCCAGTTGTGCTTTGTAATTTTGATTAAAAAATGGCTATTATGTGTAACAGAGTAGTAGATTTTGAGATAAATGGTATCTGCCCTCAGAAGCGGACATGTTGCCTATCTCGGCAGGCTTGCAGTATAAGTAGGTTTTCAGTGTCCTTGGCACTGGGCTGGGGGCTTCATCTTTGTTTTAGCTAAGTTTGATATATGTCAGGCTTTAAATTATTCCAGTGGCAAAAGTGCTCCCGTCTCACATTTAGCGTGGGGTCTGGGTTCAAGGCTGCCGCTCCATCTTGTGGCATGCTTACACTCCTGTAGACACTCCAAGCCATAGCATGGAGGGAGTCTAACTTAAGGCTCATACCTCCTCTTCAGCATTTTTCTGCTCTTACTTGGTGCAAGGTACAAGGTCTCATTCTCCAGTCCTTCCCTTAGATTCAGACAGGTCAGTTTTCATGAACTGGGGGTTCCTGCTGTGTTTGGAAGCAAGAATATGATCTGCATGCTGACCCCTGAGGAGGCACGTACTCATCTGCCCAGCCTTCTTCTCTGGAACAGATGACTGCTACATCCTCCCCATGTCAAGTTTGGTGTGTGATAGGGTCAGTTCTTGGTTTTGCTGATTTATTCTCAACCTTAGGCCACCTTTTAGTTCTATTCTCTTACAACAACATAATATCGAATTTGTTCTCATTATTTAGGTAAAATAATCAGTTGCATTTTTTATATCCAAAGCAAGAAATTTCTTTCCTTTTTTTTTTCTGGTTGGTTGTGGGGCCTGAACTCTGGGCCTAGGTGCTGTCCCTCAGCTCTTTAGCTCAAGGCTAGCACTCTACCACTTGAGCCACAGCGCTACTTCTGGCTTTTTCTGCTTATGTGGTGCTGAGGAATCAAACCCAGGGCCTCATGCATGCAAGGCAAGCGCTCTACCACCGAGCCACCTTCCTAGCCCCAAGAAATTCTTTATTACAATTTTTACTTGTCTCTTACATTTGGTTCTCTCAGAATACAAGGAAAGCTAGGCGCCGGTGGCTCACACGTGTAATCTTTGCCACTCAGGAGGCTGAGATCTGAGGATTGCGGCTGAAAGCCAGCCCAGGCACGAAAGTCCGTGAGTGGTGCTGCGGCTCAAGTGGTAGAGTGCTCACCTTGAACAAAAGAAGCTCGGGGACAGCGTCCAGGCCCTGAGTTCAAGCCCCAGGACTGGCAACAAACAAACAGTACAAGGAAACGAAGAACATGGTTCTGAGTTTAAGTACTGTGTTTGCGAAGTGATCCATAATAGAAGGGTAGAGATGAATGCAGGAGGAGGGGCGGGCGGGAGGTGAGCATGGTGGTGCTCTCTCCCTGAGGACTCGTGCCAGACACAGAATCGGCCTTGGCAGGGGCTGAGTGCCTCCCACCAGCTCTCCTTTGTACTTAATAGTCTAGTCAGTGAGCAGCACCTGATCCTGACCCAAACGACAGAGAAACTCAGGAGTTTCCAAACAGAAGTTGTTGACCAGAAGGCAGCAGGCAGGCCTAACAGGACATTGGTGTTTCTTCCATGTACTGTTGTATAGTAGAATGAGCCTGATTTTTGTAGAGGAAGATTTTTTGCCTGACTCATCTTTAAATTCTGCCATCATTGTAACTCAGATAAAGCAACTGGAAGACAATGACCCAACATTTATTAAATAAGAAAATGTATTCTATACAGTACCAATAGAGAGACTTCTGGTGGATTATTTCCTCCAAACAAACATCTATTCACATCACATAGTTTAGTCAGAAAGGTTAATTTCAACATGGGTTGATTTTAAGTCACATGAACTTTCAAGCAAGTTTATATGTGTTATAATTTAAAAAACAATTTCCAAATGTGAATGTTCACAGATATTTTGTGTTGTTCTTAGTCAACAATGAAAAGGCGTCCACCAACCATTGTGTGTTACATCTGTGGCCGTGAATATGGAACAAAATCCATCAGTATCCATGAGCCACAATGTCTGAAGAAATGGCGCAATGAAAACAACATGTTGCCAAAAGAATTGAGGAGACCAGAGCCAAGAAAACCGGAAGTCGGAGCCATCACTGGTAAGTTCCTAATTAAAAAGACCTGAGTGTACAGCGGGAGGCCCATCCCAAAGCATGAGCACAGGGATTCTTATCTGTTCAAATGGCTGAAATCGACAGTGTGTTGCTGCTGTCTCTCTAGCCAAATGGGGAAAAAGCAGTTGTCTCATTCTCAGAAGCGAAGACATAAATGATGCCCGAGACACATGCCTGGAATTTACCGTATTTCCCCAGAATTTCCTTTCTCCTCGTATCAAGCACAATACTTTAAAAACATGAAGCTTATAGCAAACCTCTGGGGATATTCAGAGTAATTGTGTGGATGTTCATAGACCCAAAGTACCAAACTCGTATGTCTAAGTCATAAAAATTGAATAAATTGATTAATGTATGGGGGAAAAAAAACAACCAGGAAAGTAGGGGATGTCGTGAGCTCTCTCTAAAAGAAGCGGCAGCTGCTTAGGCCCAGCTGGTGTTATCATCAAGACAGCCGGGAAGAGTGCAGGAAGATATTTCAATAATAGAAAGGAAACTGGAAATCCAGATGTCTGTAGAAAATGTCCAGATTTGTGTTTTTTTTTTAATTAACAATTTGTAAAGCATGACCAGCCAAATGAAAGGGGAACTACATTGTCACTGTGTCACAGTGCCGCGAGCTTACTGGTTTAGAGGGCAAGGGTTTGGAGAATGGTTCAAGGAATCTTAGCTGGTAAAGACAACAGTAGAACAGTAGAGAGAACCTTTTTGCCATTCATTTTCAGATTTACTTATCACATTTCTAGCACTGACATTTTCTCCGTCGACTTCTTCATTCTTTTAAGGGAGACTTTTGACTTCCATTCCTTCATAGTTACCATGAAGATACACAGTGTTGATTAGCCCAAAGCACTCTTCTTTCAAATACCATATCCAAGGAGAGTTAATGACAACTCACACAGCAGAATCTAGATCTCCACAAGAATGCTCTAGAAGTTCAACTGTTCAGTCCTTGCCAAGACTGAGACTTCTGCACACAAATGGGAGGAAGAACTCAAGCTGAAAACACTAACCAACTGAAATGAGAGCGTTTGCCCACAGAGTGCTCACCTTCTATTTCTGAAGGTGCCTGTCGATCATAGGCAACTAAATGTCATTCAGGTTCAGTGTGGACACAGAGTTCAAGTCTAGATCCAAAGCCAAGGCTCTGGGAACAAACCTTTAAGAACGAGATGAGTCACCCTCAAGGGAGAGTTTGGGGCTATTCAGTGCTATTGAAACTGCATCAAACTCATATGAGTAACGAAAAATTTGGTGCTATTTTTTTTCTCAACAGATTTTCAAAGCACTCGACATATTCATCACAGGGAGCTGGTGTCTCACGCCTGTAATCCTAGCTACTTAAGAGGCTGAGATCTGGGGATTGTGGTTCAAAGCCAACAGAAGTGGAGCTTTGGCTCAAGAGGTAGAGTGCTATCCTTTAGGAAAACAAAGCTCAGGGACAGTGCGCAGGCACTGAGTTCAAGCCCCAAGACCAGCACAAATAAACAGAACACAGACACACACACACACACACACACACACACACACACGCACATTCATAATCTGCATCAAATGTGATATTTGCTTTATCCAAAGGAGAAACATTAGGTTGGCCAGGAGTTTAAGTTCCAAGCCCATTGCTGTTGGGCACTGGTGGCTCATGCTCAGGCCCTGAGTTCAAGCTCCCTTCTCCCCTCAAAAAAATCCCATGGAAAGAATAAAATGAACATGGAAAGCAGGCATGCTAAGAATCTAAGGTTTGTGACGGTGGTGCGAACTATTTGATAGAAATCATATGAAAAATGCCTAGGATTTAATGAAGTCATCTAGGCTTTGCCACTGATAACAACTAAGCAATATAGTTTTGAGTACCTCGCCTACATTTTGGGGGCCTATTTTGGGTGATTCTAAGACATAGTCAATTCAACGTTCTAAAGTCACTCTATTTAAATAAGGCTTATTAAAATAAGCTGTTTCTCTAAAATGAAGCCATATGGTTTTCCCTCTGCTCTACCAATGAAGACTGTACATTTCTCAGCTGTCTGCTCGGTTTTCTTAAGAACGCTTCTTTTCATCAGATTAACTATTCTGTTTGCATTCTTTAATTACATAAAGAATCTCGGAGTTCACAGCCATGAAGAGATGGTAAATTTTTAGGATATAATTCATCTCGAATTTACTCTCAACTGTCAGTTGTGGCTCTGAAAACATCCCACTGAAGGATTACAGAGGAGGAAAATAACAATTGCCTGTTCTTTTCCCTTTATAAGACTTCAATTTGGAGTCAACTAAAAGGAAGCCAAAAGTTATATTTGCAAGATAATAATATATAAGCAAAGATGTTAATAATTAGTGGAGAATGCATGTCAAAACACATAAAACTCCGTTTCTAAGTCCAAAGAGTATAAAGCCTCTGCTTCCAAGCGAACTTGACTCGATTCCCGAAAAAAGGAGAGCACTTTATTTACTTATTTATCTACTTACTTCGGGCAAACGTCATATGATTTATTTAAAACCTCAGTCAACAGGTATTTCCTGAAAATACTTTTTATTAAACAAAAAGTTCTGCAGAATGAAAACTAATCTAGTCTACCTTTTCTTCCTCTCTTTCATTTTCCTCTCTCTCTCTCTGTGTCTGTTTCTCTCTATAACTTTCTGTCTCTGTTTCTCTGTCTCTCTTTGTCTGTCTGTCTCCCTCTCTGTCTGCCTTTCTTGTCTGCCTGTCTCTCTGTGTGTGTGTCTCTCTCTCCAGCCAAAGGGTTCTATGATCTCGATGCCCTGAATGAAGCTGCTTGGACAAATGCGCAGAGCCAGCTAGTTCCCTGCAACGTTTGTGGGCGGACCTTCCTGCCAGACAGACTCATTGTTCACCAGAGATCTTGTAAACCCAAGGCTGCCAAGTAAAGCCCTTTTGCTCTCCCCGGGAAGTGTTGCAGGAATCCATCTCTTTGAAAGTCATCAGGACCCAGCATGAAGGAGAAAAGGGGGATGAGGAGAGGACACCAGGACAGCTGGCGCTGACTGTGTGCTGGCCAGCCGGGGAGGCTGGACACAGGCTTGCTGCCCACCCCGCCTCATGGGCTGGGGCGCCACAGGCCCCGGGTTTAACAAGCAGCTGCGTGTGCTTGGTGCACACCGGGAACTTTTCACACTGTTTTTGTCAGGCAGAATTACAAGCGGGCTGCTGCTTATCGGAGCTGGACATTTTGTCTCAAGGAACTTTCTGAGCCAATTGTTGGCTTCCTTCCCCCCCCTCCTTTCCTGAACAAGATTTTGAACCCCACAATATGGAGCCCCGGTGAACAGAGGTTGTGGGGGCCACACGAGGCATCTCCTTATAGGGTGTGGATAGTGCTGGGACCCGATTTGACTCCCGTTCATTTATTTATTCATTATTTATTTATTAGTGGCCAGGGATGCTGCAGAGATTTCCTGAGGAGGCAGCCTTGTGTCCAAAGACCAAGGCCTGGGCCCTCGAGGGGTTTGGACAGTGCTCTGTATTTGAAAGTCCTCGATTGTAGATTCCAGCAGGCAAGACTGTCCCGGAGGAGACCCGGATGAGGGTGGAGATTCTGCTCTCTCGGGCAGATGGTATCTCGGGTGGTGGTCTTGTTTGAGATCTTTCCTATGTGGCTGAATTCCACTGCCAGCCTCACACCGAGGACCTTACACAGAGCACAGTCAGCTCGAAATCAGATAGACCAACTTATCCTCCTCAGTTACTTGGTCAGACATCTACTTATTATCCAGGGAAGTCCTACTAGCTATTCTGTTTTTTATTGCTTGTTCCAAAGGAATCAAGAGATCGACTTTTTGAAAACATGTGTCTCATGAAAGACATGGCATATCACAAATTGTAGTTCATTGCTTAGTTCTTCTGTCTTGTTGACTAACAGCTGGAGAACATCTAATGTATTGGAAGTATACATAGGTCTGGCAGAGTTGTGAGTACTTTGTATATATCAGTTCAGATGCACCTTACATTAGCCCTACGAGAAGACAGTCTTAACCTGATTTCACAGATCAGGAAATAGATACTTTGATTAAACAGTTAAGTCAAGGTCATGCTGCGTTTGAGTTAAGGGACAGAGTAGGGAAGCCAACTCAGAATTGTTATTCATAGCTATTTATCACAGCTACCATCATTAATAAGATTAGACAGAAGATATGCAAATGTAAATAGTTTTGCCCGGTATCTGCTGAGTAATTCCAACTTTCCTCAATCCAATTCTCATCTACTTGAGGGTAGGAGAAGAATTTCACGATTCCATGGTGCTCATTTTGTACACAGAATGCACATCAGAGTTTCAGCGTATGTCTTCCCCTAAGAGAGCTACTACCTAAGCTCCTTCTAGCAAGAAGAAGAAGAAGTGGCATCTCAAGCGTGACTCCAGTCCCATTGCTTTGGTTCAGAGAACACTGGACTTCTCTCTCTTTATTACAAAGGTGTTATTAAAAATTGGAGTTATTTGTGAGCAAGGAACAGACAACAAGCAACTATCCAAAGTCCTCTGAAAATAGTCCTGTGCTGGTCTACTCCTGACACCTCATTTCTTCTTCATATTTCTGTCTCAAACCAGCTTGCCTGGCCCGGGTCCCATATCCTGTCGGAGCAGGAAGTTCAGCCCTTTCCTTCCCGTCCCGTCCCGAGAACTCCCCTCCCCGCCTCCTCTGGCAATGGCTCACTTCTCCTTATCGCTGGAGGCTTTCTCTCTCAATCAGCGTCTGACCATACAAACTGCTGTGCTTCTCTCTGGCTCGGCTCAGGTTCTAGAGGGGGTAAATGAGGGTTTTCCTGCACTGGGAAGAAATGACACAAATGAAAAGCAGTGGAGTTTATGTTGAGCCAAAGGGGGTGCTGTAGAGAGAACATAGAAGGAAAAAAAATCTCTGTTTAGTTTTCACAGGATGATATTTTTCTTTTCTTTCTGGGGTTTGAACTCAGGACCAGGGCACTGTCTCTGAGCTTTTTTGCTCAAAGCTAGGGCCCTAACACTTGAGCCATAGCTCAAGCTCAGCTTGTTTCGTAGTTAGTTGGTGATGAGAGTCTCAAGGGTTTTCCTGCCTGGGCTGGCTTTGAACCAGAAACCAGAGCTCAGCCTCCTGAGTAGCTAGGATTACAGGTGTGAGCCACCAGTGCCCGGCATGGATGGTAAACTTTTATTCTTAGCTCCATTAAAATCATGTTATAAAAGTTTTCAAATAGATATGTTTAAAGAGGAAAGGGTAATGAAATATAATGTTCTGTACAGGTAACGTGGTCCTTGACAGCCCATTAAATTGCTTTTGAGTGATTTAAACCCCAGCTATTATTTGGGTAAAAGGAAGGTAGAAACATCAGCCCAAGATTCTGATTGTTCCTCAACACCTTTTATTACCACTTATAGATTCATGAGCTTAAGCTAGCATGGATGGAAATGGGACTGGACATGTAATAAAGTGAGAACCAGACCAGGCTTCCTGGAGCTTTGCCGATCATTGATTCACATTGCTCACGCTACAGGACAGAGAATTTCAGATGTATATTACTAGCAGAGAATGTGTTATGCTCCCCAAAACACTGACCCTGTAGACTCCCAAACTTCTGAATACATTCCCTTACGTGACTTTGCAGGGTTCACATTACCAACCTTGAAAACTGGGCTGTGGTGGCCCAAACCTACATTCTAGCTACTCAGGAGGCGGAGACTCTAGAAATGAGGGTTGGAAGCCAGCCAGAGCACAAGAGTCTGCTGTACCCCATCTCTAAAATAACCAGCAAAAACCAGGGCTGGATAAATGGTTCGTTTCAGAGCACCAGGTAAACAAGGACACCCATAAGGCCCTGGGTGTGTGTATAGGGGAACACACACACACACACACACACACACCAATATATACATACATAGACATATGCACCTTAGGATGGAAAGACTACCCTGGTGTGACCAATGTAAACACAGAAGTCCCTAATAGAAAACAAAGAGGCCAGAAGAGGCCGCATAAGGATTTCACCCCCCATTGGCAGCTCTAGAAATGTAGGGAGCTGTGTTCAAGGACCAAGAGGAGCTGAGGGTAGCCCCCAAGTGATAGCTCCCAGAGCAGTGGAAGCCTCTGTCCCATTTCTCACGCACCTGAGTCCCGCTGGCCCCCGGGAGGAGCAAGCTCCGCCTCTAAGAGGAATCAGCTGTGAGCAGCACCTTACTCCACACAGGAGCCCAAGGTGAGGCTGAGGAACACCTCACCTGAGAGCATCGGGGTTGCTTAGGCTGCTAAGCTAGGAGACGTTTGTGATGGCCACCGTAGACGAGCACAAAACCCATGGAGGTGGCCTAAAGCAAAACCAATCAACTCTGCTGAACAAGAGCAGTAGAACTCCTCTATCTGCCTGGAGACAATTGCCCGGCCGGCCTGCGTTCACGAGGGACTGGCCAGCAGGGGCTGAGAGACCCAAGGCAAACTGGATCCAGTGCTTTCCACCCGCCTCATGGAAGAAATCAATATTTAGCCACAAACCCAGGAGGACGAGTCATTGTGTATGCCATAAAGCAGATCAGTTTGGTAAATTAGGAGAAAGGGGGGGGAAACTGGAAAGTTTGCAACCATTCTCACATATTAGAAATGCCAGGATTATTTAATTTTTAGGAGAACCTTGAAATTTGGATAAAGAAACACTCAGAGTTGTTTTTCTTTCCTACTTATTTTTATTAGCATACATGAATTGTATAAAATAATGGGTTTGTTGGTGGTGCTGACATTGCCTAAGAGTAAGGTTTTTTTCTCTGCAAATAAGTGTTTAAGCAGAGTGAGTTGATTGGAAAGCAAAAGGGAACCAGTGAAATGAGCGCTCTATGGAGAGGCTCGAAGGAGTCCTCTCAGAGGCTGGTTATTATAGTACAGGGCTCCTCCCAACCCTCTACCCATCCCTCCCTCCCCACCCCACCCACGGGGCCTTGCCAGTTTTTACCTGATGGCTTGTGTGTGCTCCACCCTGGCTCTTTTCATTGGTTGATCAGGAATCCGGGGCATTATGGGAAGAGGCAGCATCCTGAGGAGCCATGTGATCCTCAGCTACCTGACAGCTCCCCGTTCTTCGCCTCAGCGAGAGAGGGTCCACAGGAACATTACATTTTTAACAAATCTCAAACAGGCCAGACTTGGAGTTGAAACCAGGAGGTGGGCTGAGGAGAGGTAACAGCTCCTCTCCCACCACATCTAATTCGGACGGTAATGACAAGAATAAGAGGTTGTGTCTCCAGGTGCCTTCTTCTTTACAAAGGATGAAGAGCGCTGAACGCTCCGCAAATGAGCAGAGAGCAAGATGAGAAACACAGAGGGAGAGCGTCACATGCAGCTCTTGCGGTGGTAAAGCGAATCCTCCTAGAAGCCACGTGGAGGTGGATGCCATCGTGGAGTCTTTACCATGCAGTTAGCAGGCTGCACGCAGCCCGAAAGGCCTGCGGCCCCCAAATACACCTAACACGGTTAGGAAACAGGCCAGACAGGAAAGAAAGAACAAAAACAATGCCAACAGTGGAGAGCTGAGCTGGGACTCCATGGGGACTGGAGACGACCAGGACACAGGACATGGGACACAGGACACGGGACACGGGACACAGGACATGGGACAAGGGACACAGGACACGGGACACGGAACACAGGACACAGGACAAGGGACACAGGGCACAGGACACGGGACACGGGACACGGGACACGGGACATGGGACACGGGACACAGGACACAGGACACGGGACACAGGACACAGGACACAGGACATGGGACCCCATCATGGAGACACACATGGCTGGTCCAGGCCTAAATAGGGCCAGGGCAGTGGACAGGTCCACGGGAAATTCCCAGTTCCAGGCACTGGACTGACAGGTTCAGTAACTTATCAGCCAAGGGCCCGCCCCTATCTCCAGGG